TACTGTGGACCAGGAATTACTTAAATAATAGAACATAAAGACATCCCTGTTATTAGTTAACATTTCAATATGAAAAATGGCCTACTCGTTGCATAAAACTTTCGTCACGCGATAATATTGCAATAGTTATTAGCTCCCGAATAGATCTCGCTACAAAAAATATGATCAAAATAATATTTTATCTGTTTAGATAAATCAGGCAAAGCTCCGGATTTCTAAACGTCACACTAACATGTCATCAACTTGTTGACGGCTCGCATAAAATGTGTGTGCATCGGCCAGTTGGACGCAAGACCAATAAAATTATAAATAAGCACTAAGGCTTAAGGTCTTTGCACCTGTCGAGGTCGGTAAAACAGATTTTCAACTAGATTTATTTCTACTGCATTCGCAAATTAAAGTGAAATATATTACCATGGCGTCCGTGCGAAATCTTCCGCGGATGTAGAAACCGGACACTGGCGAATACAAATCAATTGTATCCAAGTCACAAGATAATGCGGATTTATCGATGCTATCGATATTTAATCACTTGCACACTGAGTGTTGTTAGTAAATCACTGCGGTATTCCAAAACGGTAACAATACGCGACGATTCGATTTTCAAAAAATCAAATGTCACTCGCGGTCGCTTAAGCGGGAAAACTGTAGGGCGGTCCGGCCGGCGCACGCGCGGTTGCCACTGAAACTGGCCGTTCCGTGCCAACTGGTGGCTGTCGACGTCATCACCAACCTTTGGCAAACACGCCAACATTGTGGCCGGGCCATTTCGATACGCTGCGGATTGTTTACATAGCGGTACATATTGGTGGTATTGTATTTTGTCGCGTTGCTGTCACCGAGTGGAGCCAACGCTGATTTGGCTTTTAGTTAATGGCACATAAAATTGTGTTATTTTCATGTTGGTTTTGGTCCGGTTGATACGATGCTATACGAGTATAAAGTATACGCAGCTTGTGAAGGTTCGCCCGGAATGGGAGTGAGGACGCAGGTCGCAGGCGCAGCTCGCGCGGCTCCCGCTAGACGCTGCGACGTGGGTATTTGTGTTGACACGCTTGTCGGCTGCTTCTTTGAAATGTATCTAAAATAGTATCACAATAATTATTCGTTTGAGAGCCGAGAGAATGGCTAATCACGAAACGAGATCGTAGATGATGAACCTAGTTTCTGGGTGACGTCACACAGCTCTGAATTGTGACTTATTTAACTGACACGGGGATTAGTTTCGCTGTAGTTTTGCTCACATCTCGTATTTTAATGACTTTATTTTGGACTCGGATTATCTAATCCTAAAAAGTCGTAAGTGATGCCGAAAATATGAACAAACTTGTCCTATTTTACTTATGTACACTGTAGTTTTTCATTTTAATTAGTAATTACCTGGAACATTACATTTCTTAATTTGCTTTCAGTGTCAAAGCAATAAAGAGTTTCATGAAAAGTCGATGCGCAATGCTGTAGGCCATGTCTACGCAGAAATCACTCAATTTTCCTCAGTTTTGTCATCACTTGACTAGTGATAGAATAAATTAAAAATAACGAAGATATAAGTAGGTAGAGTCAGAGTGAATATTACGTATAACACTAAAAATCAAAGATTGATGGGTCATACTTAATACATTCTTAGCTTAGCGAGTTACCGGGGCTCCAGCTCGCAGTGCATAACTAGGAACGGGTTGGTTTTTAGTCAGTAAGAGTTTGACACTCCCTCTCGCCTCACCCGGGCGTAAGAAATCATTGGATGAGATTTCCCCCTCAAAAAGCCCTTAGTACATGTTATAAAAAAATACATTCAAGTTATTAATATAAATGTAAAAATTAACTTGATAAACCTCACACAGACAAACAAACAAATACCACACGTAAAACTCCCAATCTGAAGATCAAAAGTCGACTCTGATACAGCAGCTGCCGCCTGATGTGATACAATATACAATCTGATGATAAACACTTGGTTAACAAATAATAAACACGAGGAACTAACCTCAGCGAGGACATGGCCAGGGAGCCTCTCGTCTCAATGTCAATGTTATTTCCGAAACTGTTGTGAAGGTAACATATATCAATGAAGATGTTTTCATTATGTATCTTGGTGTTCGTTTAAAATTTATAATTTCTTCTTCATTTTTTCTGATGCAGGCGCAGTGATCGTAACTGAATTTGAAGCCGTTAATAGTGTTTATTTTGCTACTTATTACAACTCTGAAATGTAATTTAAGAAATCAATTCAATCCTTAGTCGTATAAAACATAAAAATCACACTCAAACGTCCTATGATTCACCATCATCAAATTTAAAAATTGTGTTTAACAAGAAACACAAATTTCGAAAATGGAGCTACAGATTCACGCCTCAAAATAACGAACACCAGAATAATATTCAGCAAATGGACACAAACGATTTTCATTTAAAAATTCAGTTGAATCGACCTCCCTGAAGATCACAAGCTTCTCTTTATATTTACAACTTATTTCCTCGAATGCTGCTTACGTAACGCTTCCTAAAACTATGTGACATCATGTTCTTTGTCCCAAATGCCAAGAACATGCAATTTATCACTTCAACAATCTTATTTGGGATGATTTAGGGCCGTCACTATACATTTTCGCTTAAACATAGTAACAAATCTTGAGAAGATTCTCAAAAATTTAAAGTTCATTGAAACATTCTGGGAAACTAATAATATAGAGCAGATCTTCGAAGAAATGAGAATCACCTGTTCCTTGGTAAATTGAGTTAGTAATGTTCTGTTGAAACGATGTTAGCTTAGTGCTCAGTACCGGATTAGACTGAGGTCACTCAGGGTGGAACTTGCAGCTTCTGACGATTTTAATACTGGTTCTTGGATAAATGAGTTGAAGTGATTTATAGACTCGAGGCTTTTTAATCTTCTACTTTTAAAATCTATGAGTAATTCATACTTAGTAACAGCACTTCGTTCAGCTTCAGTGCATTAAAGAAGTTGAAATGTTGGCGAGTCTTTATCAAATGGGTAACTTCGGAGGATACACCGTGAAATCGTGAAACTTGCCATAAGGAGTACTTTCGATGTATTAAGTAAAAACAAACAACTAAAGAAATCATTTCTTTATTTGAAAAAATCATGGAAATACGCACATGAAACACTAGACGAAAATTTGTAGACACTATTTACATCACACGTGCACCCGACGAGGATTATGTCTTCGAGAATGACATGGCATCATGTTTTGATAATGTACTATGAGATCGTATGTGCTTTCAAAGTTGCTTTTTGCAGTGGTTCACCATAACCATTTTACTTCGGGTCGAAAACGAAATATATAGTATATTAAAGTAGCAGAAGCAATGTCTTGTTATATTAATCTTACCTATAGGACGTAGAACAACAATAAATCCGATCGAGTGTTAACTACGTCAATGCGTTTCCTTGAACAAATAAACACGTATGTACAATTTAATTGACTGCATCTAGCAAGTAACATCTAATTCTCATTAGCGGAGTTTCCTCTCCAAGTGTACTGCGAATATTAAGACGACTTTCCTGTTGGAACATTGATCTTTACATAAATTAGGAATCATCTAAATCAGTATTTCTCAATAAACACTTTAGAATACCCAAAATTAAAAAACGTTATAGTTATTGCATTGTATGAGCAAAATTCAGATTTTCTTTGTTCGTTTTAGCGTAGTACAAGAATGATCTCGTTTCTGCAAATGACCTAAGGGTTTAAGGTTTTTTTTAAATTCCGGTCTTTTATATAGTTGTAACAAAGTGACTAAAAATAACTATTATTTGATTTTAAACGCACGACCTAAAAGCCCTCTTTGGAAAACCCTAGGTTATCCCTAGGTTAACCCTAGGTTAATCTAACAATTCATCTTAATTTTCTCAATTCAAATCAAGATCATAAGATACAAATATGCATTTTACATTAACCTACATAATATAAAACCACGCCTACTATCCCCGAAAGGATAGGCAGAGGTGTAAATTACGGCACTTAATGCCACTGTACAATATAACATCCATGTAATAGGGGGTGAGCCTATTGCCATATACCGGGCACAATTCCAGACTCTGTGCTACTACTGAGATTTTTTGAAAAAGCCCAGTAATAAAAAAGCCCAGGTCCGCTAGATGGCGCTGTTTAGCGAAGACAAAGAAAAAAGTGCTCCTCAGTATTTTTAAATAATTTATTAGAAAAAGTTGAAATCATAAAGTAATATTGTTAGCTAAGTGACTATAACGGACTAATGCATAATCTCAAGTGTGATTTATCTAGTAAATTCAGTGGTTTTGGCGCAATGTTATAAACAATATAAACAAGAAAGTGAAACACAAAATTCATTATTTGCGTCTCAAGTAGCTAATAATGCAACAGTGATTCACACAAACCAGTGAAATATTATAGTGCAACAGATAAAAATAAACAGTGAACTTGTTTCTATCAAATCAGAGAAAAATACAAACAAAAATATTTGCACGATGAGTCATAATTAACCGCTTATCTTATTTAAATTTTACTGACACTCAATACTATATCAAATTTCAACCATTCTTACCAACGATGATCTGGTCTGGTGGCGTAGCGACTGGATTGAAATATTTTATGAATACGGACAACTGAGTTCGAATCCGACCAACTGCAAAACTTTTTGTGGGTTCTTTATCGAGGTTTTATTTAATATTAATTTACTGACATCAATACCAGCATACCCACAGATTTGGTCTGTGACTGCGTGATAAAAATTTAAGGCAACCTACATTATATATAATCATTAACTGGAACATAAAGTATCTACAGTATTAAATTAAGACTAAACAATGGAGTATGAAAACGTAACAATTCGCAAAAAACAAAACATGTCATACGAGTCGTTACCAGATGCGGACCAATTCAATTCTTTGTTGACGAATGATTCAATGCACGCAAGAAGTCTACCAGATATTTCTACATCAAATAATAATGATATTGAACTCATGAAGGACATAATTACTGGCTTGAAGTCTCAATTATCTAGTGCTGATAACGAAATAGAAAAATTAATATTAGAGAATACGGCCCTACAAGCACTTATTAAGGAAAAAGATGCAAAGATCAGCAATTTGATACAAATCTGTTCTCCATATAAGCGTGGGAAAATAACACAAAGAAAGATTTTAACCCCGAGGAAAAGTGATTTTCCCCTGGAAACCAGTTCTCCGGTTACGAGAAATACTCAGTCAAAACATAGAGGTACATCTATAGTAAGTCTAGGTAGTGACAGATCTTTGACAAAGTATCAGGATGTAGGGAAATCTCCAGAAAGTATACAAAATACAAGCAGCCCTACATTGTCAAAATCACAACAATTGGAAATTGTTAATTCTCGTCCGAACATTTCTATTATAAGTAGCAATAAAGTAAACACTATATTGTCTATAGCTCAGAATACACTCCCGTGTTATAATGTTTGCCACTTTATTTCAACGAACTGTGGAATTAAACAATTACTTTGTAATTTAAAACCTAAACTGTTACACTACAATAAACTGGACCACTGTTTAATTTTTATAGGAGAGAGAGACTTTAAGCAAACTGTAAATTATTATGAACTAGTTATTAGTATACGCGAGGCACTGAGGTCGATAAATAACACGAATATTATTTTATGTTTACCCACATATAAATTTAATGGTCATAGCGATGTTTATAACTCAAGGATTGAATGTTTTAATAATTTGTTGTATGTTGATAACTGTAAGTATAATTACGCAACACTATATGATTCTAACTTAAATTTAAGGTACGATGATACAATGTTCCATAAGCACAGCGGTGTACTAAATAACCGCGGCATGGGTACCATTTTTAGTAACTTAAGGTATTACATTACCTCACATAACCTCTCCACCGCAGTCCAGGCACATGGACCACGTAAAGGCACAATACCCTTCTATTTCCCGGTGGTTAATAAAACCCCTGTTAAAAACGTTAAAAACGAATTGTCTGCAAATAACTGTTCTGTTGACACTTTTCAGAAACCGTTTTTTCGTAAGTAATCGTAGAAACGTAGCATGTACTATCTTACACCAAAATATAGCGGGTGCACTTAATAAAATGCATGAACTTGACCTAGCCCTTGACGCAGGCAGTATCGGAAAACTCTCTCTGTGTTTGGAATGGTAGAGATTTTTATTAATTTAAAAAGGAAATATAATTACCAGTCTATTGATGGGCGGCAGACGATGCAGGGCGCGCGTGCAGGCCGCGAAGTCAGTCCCGGCCGCGACGCAGGGCCCGTACAGCGCGTCCGGTATGAGCGGCTCGTACAGCTCGCGGTACCATAGCTTCAGCAGGCTCGCTGGGGCGTGCGCGTCTGGAGGGATAAACATTATTTTAAAGACATATATCCTTGTGCTTTCTGTCTCTTACACGTATCATCACTAGTTTAGTAAGTAGTGGCCTCCTCACTATATTCTGCTATATAAGGTTTAACACCAGTCACAATGACGCTGACTATCTGTCATACTTTTGTGTGTATACACGTCGTGTGCTCTATACGTAATGTAATTAAAATAAAGTCTTCACTAACCCAAGTGTTTTGTCCTTTCAGCCACTAACAACTAGTCGACAAGATTGTTTTAAAGACTCGTTTGCCAAAGAAGTGAAAAAAATTAAAGTCAAGTAAAACCAATCCGAGTCTTAAATCATTAATCCACTATTATAACACTGTCCATTTGCCTAATCTTATTACGTATCTAAAAATAACACCACAAAAAGGCTAAATGACATTATTTTATTACATAAACACTGTTTTAAGATTCCTTTCTACAATATACAAACAATTAATTATTTTCTAAATTATATTATTAAATGAAGTATAGGTAAGTTTTAAAATAAAACACCTACCAGTCAAAGTGGAAGCATCAGGTAGTTCCCAGTTGTCTATCTTGGCTTTCAGAGCATTGACTTCATCAACATCAGCGGAGACTCGGAAGATGCCCTCAGTCTCCCTACCATTGAGGGCCAGGACCTGCTGAGACAGAGCTACTTGCACCCAGGGTAGTTGTCTGTTGGGGAACCTTTCTTTCTGCAGCGCCATCACCTCAGATAACGTGTTGCCGAACATGGACTGTCTGAAGATTTGTATCTGTGGAATATAATTATTGTGATGAGTGCTTTTCTATGCCATTGAACTTGGAAGTTGAAGAAGTTGGTTAAAATCTTTATAGCAATCAAAATATAAAGGTTAGGTAATATTATATTCTACCTCACTTTACTTAATACTAGTTTTACACTTGTGTCGCTTTATGAGATGGTTTTATTTTTTTGTCTATTATTATTTGAAGAAACCAATGATTTTGCTTGTCTTTCTTGACGTCTTCCGTTCGGCACTTTAATTCGTAACTTATAATGAAGTTGTTAACGCCGAACCGCGCGCCCGCGCATCGCCAGGCAGTGCAGGCCGGCGCGCCTGCGCTCATTCATTCAGTCACTGGCCGACCCAACGCCCACACGCACTCGTACGGCATCGCTCGCATCAATAGTTACACGTGTATGGTGTATCATAGATTTAGCTTGCTTAAACTGTCAAACACCAAGCGGTCACCGGTGACCGCAACCTATTGTTCTATAATTGTGTCTATAATGACGGTACTCGACGAGTTAATTAAAGTGATTTATCTCTCCATACACCGTGTTATCATTTCAACATCCTTCGTCAACAGAAGTAATGATGCACCACTCACCCTAGCTTGATCGATATCATCGGTAGTAGGTTTCCTGGGCTGCCTTTTCCCTCCGAAGCCGATCCTCTCCAGCCTTTTGCACGCCACACCCGCGTAGTGAGAGACTTGCACGTGAATAGGCCATTTGCCCACCTGTAATATTACATTTTTAAACATTTATTAGGTAACCATACAATACGAATCATAATTAACCATTGAAATGAAATTAGAACAGAATCGAAGAGATGAGGTGCAACGCAACAATGCGTATGTATTTACAAGTTCTTTCTCAAAATTATAATTCGTTCAAAACAGAATTAGATTTGATGGTCAAAAAGTTGAATGGTGATAAGGTCGAAAATCAAGAAATAACAATTATTATTCATATTAGTTGTCCTTCATTATACTCATTGAAAACCACGAGATATTACAAGCTTACAAAATATTTTCATATAATAATTAATGCAAGAGACTAATTTAAACGTGCACAAAATGATATTATTATGATTACCTCAGGGAAAGCATCAGCGAACGCGGGGTCTCTGTGCCTGTTGACGTAGTTGGTGAGCGCGGGCTGGAAGGCGGAGGAGGGCGGCACGAAGGCGAGGCACACGGCCAGCAGCTCCCAGCCGCGCAGCAGCGAGTCGCGCAGCGGGTTCTCCGTCGTCTGCCGGCACAGCTGCACGTACAGCTCGTCGCGGAGTCTGCAGTAACAATGCATACATACTATAAATACAGTTTACAAACGGCGTATGGGCAATGTGTTGCGGATTAAATACCCTCCTGATGGCAAGTGTGAGAGAGCCATGCTTCGGCACGAATTGGCCGGCTCGACCGGAGTGATACCACTGCCACACGAAAAACCGACGTGAAGCAACGCTTGCGTTATGTGTCGTCGTGTGAGTGAGGTTGCCGGAGGCCCAATTACCCCCTCCCCTTCCCCAATCCCTGAATCCCCAACAATCCCCAAACTCCTAATCCCCAAAAGGCTGGTAACTGGTAACGCACTTGTAAAGCTTCTTAGTGTTTCAGGTGTCTATGGGCGGCGCCGAATGCTTACCATCAAGTGATCCGTGTACTCATTTACCGGCTTATGCTTATTATTTTAACTTTAAAAAATGTATACGCATCATCGTCAATAGTTCTTGACAATCCACTAGACTATGGGCCTCTTCTATATAAGAAGAGCGATATTTTTGTGGTTACACATACTTTGTTAACATGTTCTACTTGTATGTCTAGATCGAGTAAAAATGCCTTTGACTCATCAAAATAATACTCCGAAACGAGGTGATACTTACTTCTCATTTGAGAAAGTAGCATGCAGGATATCTTGTGCGACAGAGTTGAGTGTCATCCCAGGCCTCGCCTTGCGGTCTCCCATGTAGATCTGTACCAGTCGGAACAGGTCGATGGCTGCCTTCTTATGCGCTTTGTCCCAATCTGCACCCACCATCGGCGCACTGATAGATGATGATGTCCATGATAAAAGGTCGCGTACTGATGCCTGGAGACAAAGAAACGTTGAAATTAGTAACTAATTTAATGAAAGGTTCGAAGTTTGCTAGATGATTGATAAACTTTTGACAATAATATGCTTTAATAATAATAATAATAATAATAATAATTTATTTATTTATTCAGATAATACAATCCATATGGTTAGTAAAGATATCAACAACTTATAAACTAGTATTAGTACATCACACATCTTCATATAAAATTAAAATAATTAGTCATAAGTAATATAATGATAATATAGTAACAATACTGCTGACTTTCACTACTTCTGGGCACGGTTTGTAGGCAACACTTGCGTCTTCGTCCAGTGTTTTAGCATAAGGCCATCAGTCCTATCCGCCACGGTCATCAGAAGACTGTTGGCGCTGCCCCGCACCCGCTGCATCAGGGAGGCGACACGCTTTCTTATGATTGCGTAGAAATCATCTATGCGTGCATCAGCGAACATCCCCGATGCGCTACAGTGTCGAGGCAGCCCCAACAGTGCCCTGTACGCGTTATTATATTGGACTCGCAAGGCGCTGTAAGCCCTCTGCGTGTAGTCGACCCATAGGCTGCAGGTATAAAAAGATTGACAATATGCCCTGAAAAGTGTAGCCTTCACATCATGAGAACACTTTGCAAACCTGCGGATCAACATATTGCTCCTGACTGACAGCGCCCTACGTTCCCTCTCCATGTCTTTACTATCAGTCTGTGTGTCAGTGACCCATACTTTGCCCGACCCGGCAATCGAACCCGAAACCCCTTGCCCGGCAGTCGCAATTGCGACCACTCGGCCAACGAAGCAGTCACTACTACCCTAGTACCTAAATAAATATTAAAACTTCTAGAACAAATTAATATCATTTTATAACACGACAGAAATCATCTTTGAGATCAAGTTACCAGCTATTTCTAAATTCTTGCAACTGTCATGAAAATTGGATTTCAGAGAGAACACTTCAAAGATTTTACTAAAATACAATATTATTCAATTGCTTGGAAACCACGGAACATTATCTAAAAAAAACTAAATGCATTCAGTTTTATGTTTCTACCTCATGAAATCTGCTTTTAGGTAAATCCATTACTACGACTACATAACATCACGTCTTTTATTCATTACGGCACTTAATGCCACTGTATAATGTAGCACCCACTATTTATGTTATGAGTCCCCTGTAATACGGGGTGAGCCTATAGCCATATACCGGGCACATTTCTAGACTCCGTGCTACTACTTTAGTGAGGTTTTTTTAAAACCCAGTAATACTTTGCCCGACCCGGGAATCAATCCCGAGACCCCCTGTCCGGCAGTCACGCTCGGCCAACTAGCAATCTATTACTAAGACTATACATACTGGTACCAGTATCGATTTCTCTTTTTTATATTTGATGGGCCGACGTTGGCCACTATTTCACCTGTTGGTAACTAAGCGATGATTTCAGGTATTATTTCACAAATATTTAACTTTTCAGACAACGATTCTGATGTTCGCAACAAAAATTGCTTTTCAGGCTTTATGTTGCAACATTCTTTACTGAAACTTAATTATTACGGGGCTTTTTTAGGGTTTTCAACAACAAAACATTAAAACTTGGTTACCGCTAAGTACCGCATCCGGAGAAAGATCAAACAATGCATCGTTAAATTCCTTTTATTGCAAGTAATTCAACATAACAGTCCTGTATACCTAAGTTTTTTTTTCACATTGTATTAGGAACTTAAAAACATTTTGACCAAAAAAACGCATTTTAATATTATCTGCATTACGTATCGAAGCACTCAATCACACTTCATTGAGCCGATAGGCGTGTCGGCCAATGGGTTAAGAGGCTGGCGTTAGGTAGATGAATCAAGGGCCTGATACAGAAAGCAATTCTCCTAGAAACGGCACATATCGTGAGGTTTCTGTCTCTGGAGCCCTAACAACTGGTATCTTGGACCATGCTCCCGCTACTGGTCGGCTCCTATTTTTGAAATTAAAAATGTATTTTTACAGAACTTTAAATAAACATAATGGTATAAGTAAAATATAAAACACTATTTAAAACAATTGTAGACTGCAGTCTATGATTACGATGTACTAGTTACCATATTATTCGCCACTATTTTGGGATAGCTCATTGCCATCTGCAGATGACATCAAAAGCTATCTCAAAATAGTGTCAACACTAGACGAGACCTGTCTGACTCACTCGCACTTCAAAGCGGGGGCCAGACCAAAAAGTCCAAGAGTTAGGGCAATGACAGATAGTAGGACTAAAACAAATGAAGACCGTGACGTGGCCACTCACAATGGCAGTGCACTTGGCATTACTCCAGAAAAATTAACCCAGCCGCGTCCAAACTTCAATAGTGCAAGAGCTGATGACGGTGATATAGAACTCCTGTAAAATATGTCCTAAGTCCTTGGTACCAGAATTCAAGTTTATCATTAAATGCAATTAAGTCGAGTAGACATTTTTCTACAATTTTCTTTCTTATATTCGCTAAATCTATCCTAAAAGTATAGTTACAAGTGTTCCTAATACGCAAGAGATGAAATGGCAATTTAGATGAAGTAAAAGTAGCATAGACGTGATGTCGTGGTGAGGTGTAAGACACTCACTTCTCATGCTTGAGGGTGCGGGTTCCAAACCTACCAACGGCAAGTCCCAATGTGACTTTTTTCGAGATGTATGTACTTTCTAAGATTATTTAGACACCACTGATAAACGCTGAAGGAAAACATCGTGAGGAAACCGTGTAAGCGTGGTGATTAATACTCAAACCTTCTCCGTGTGAAAAACGCTTTGCTCAGCAGTGGGCATTTACAGGCTGTTGATGATGATGATGATGATGATGATGATGATAGATGCTAAAGTTTAAACTAAAGTTAACCTGCATAGACCACTTAGAATTTACTTAGCTAGTTACTTAGGACTGACTTTTACATACATTGTAAGTTAGCATAAAATAAACATCGCAACGAATTTCATTACCAGCTCCCGGACTCAGACAAACAGCGCAAAACAAGAAACACGTGCGTCCCTTTGTCAGATATTTCCTGATTCCCAAACAAACAACACATTGTACATTTCAACGATATCCTCTTCCTCAAAGTCGTAACTTTCTGTTTATTGTAAGACGAGTGATTGATTCTCCAATACATAAGTACCTTTTCTTCTTAATTTTACATGATTTTAAAGACCTTACAAGACTACAAGTGATCGTTTGATGTCTCACTCAGCAATCGTAAATGTCAGTTCGTCAGCAAAGTTTATAAAAATATACTAAACGATGTGAAATATCAAAGAAAGCTAGTAAAACGTTTTGATATTTGTGTGTGACTGCGTGATAATGAGCGTCTCTCAGCAAATGTTTTAGTACGAGCATATAAAAGCTGTTTGTTTAAGAGTATCAAGTGAATTAATTACGGCTGGAGAGAACAAATCTCCGCTGAGCCGCTCGCATACGTTGTGCTGTTGTGATGGTATGGAGAATCTTTAAATAGCTTTTATATATTGGGTCTATAACAAAGAGTTTCGTGTAAACCTTGACACTCAAGTCTACCATCAACAACGCACATACATACATAACGTCACGATGGTCTCCAATGGTAGGCAGAGACTATGGAACGCCAATTGCTACGATTCTTACATACCTCTCTCGCTTACGTATGGTAAATAATTGCTTAAGCTTTCGTGTTGATACCATCAAGAAGAACCATTTCGCAGTCGCTATGCTCCGGCGCGATCGAGTTGCGTAGCAAGGTGCTACGATAGTTCTACGATCCGTAGTCATGCGCCTACGCATTCAAAGGTAACATCACAATAAACTGTTGCCTCACAAGTAACAAGTGCCTACATTCTCTTTATGCATTAAGTTGTAGGAGTTGTGTGTAGTTTATAAGAAATGAAAATATAGAACTATGAGCTTTACACAATTTAATGATGAATAGGTATAGGTCGAAACATTAAAACTTCCAAATGTTAGTATCCTTACAATTTGTATGTACACAATAATGAATGTCAATAGTACCACAAAACCAACTTCAAAAAATATTTTCTCATTTTCTATCATCCAGAAACAATATATATGGCTTATCAAATTTAAAAACTTTCAGATTGGACTTGTTTCTAACAAAATATTCCATTCTTATAGCAACACTGTTCTTAAAACTAGAATATTTTTGGTTTAATACAGCCTTTCCCCAGTGAAAGGTGCTCCATCAAGCTCTGGTTGTCTCTCCTCTTCTGGTGGGATGCCCCATCTTGGTCTGCAACCATTGTGGGCGTGGTAGGGAGGGATTCGGTCGTCCCGGATCATCTCGTACGCCAGGCGAGCTATGCCCGCTTGGTAGTCACTGATGCCCGTGTGCCAGAGATGTGGTCTGACGTAGCCGTAAACTGTGAAAATTAAAACTCATTAGTTTGTGATTTGTGACACGATTGAGATGATCTTTACCCAATATGGAAAAGAAAGGCAGTGCGCATTCAGAGTCTCCTGACACAAGCATATCTTGCTTAAAAGGAGGCTCCAATCAAATCTGTTTTGGAAAGAAACCCAAACTCAAAAGCATTTATTTCAATTAAACCATAATATGGTAATGGTAATAGTCTGCCAATCTGTCCGTCAGTGAAGCTAGGCGCTCGTTCCAGAATATATATTTGAGTGGAGTAGAACATGCAAGAAATTGCATTCATTTTTAAAAAAGTAACTTTAAAAAATGGCTGTTTTATAATGCTCTGATACATATCCCAATATTGTACATATGAGTAAGAACAATGCAAAGACACACCTGACGCATCATACAAATTACAAATTATTTTTATTTATAATGTGTGGTTGTTCAATGAGCTTTTTAACTTTTAGACTTTGAAGTAGCTACCAGTGGTGTTATGAAGTGATATGAAGAGCTGACCATGTGACTCTGACCTCGTATTGGGAACCTCTTGAGGAAAAGCTTAAACCTCAAATACAAGAAATTAGAGAGCGTATAGATTATAAAAATAACCTCTTCCTAACAGTGAGTTATTTTGAAAAGTATCAATTATATTATGTAACGGTATATGAACTTGGATGTTGCGTGACATTACCCAATAACGAGCAACATGTTGACACGACCAATATGGCCGCCGCGCGACAATACAATACAGGGTGCGAACAAAAGGACCGTTACACTCGTGTTAATATTGATGTGATCGTTGATACCTGACCATGACAGACTACGGATCACTTGTATTACAGGTCACACATCCTATATAAGTCTTCCTGGTTGTATCTACAGTAGATCCTAGGTACAGGACAACGTTCAACTGTCGTAATCCCGAAATGTTATCAGCACAGCTAAGTAAATTGATGACACCAAGTTTTGTCACATGTATGTCAAGAAATGAAACAATCTTTTCAGTGAACAGAGAAACGAGTTCTATATAAACTAACACTTAAACTGTCAAACACTGCGAAGACACCGGTGACCGCAACCTATTGTTCTATAATTGTGTCTATAATGACGGTACTCGACGAGTTAAAATAAGGTAAAAACCACTGTGTAATGTTCTTAATTCCAATAAATTAACAAGTATTACTAAGTTAACTAAAAATCGCAGGTTACTCACGTGAATATACTGAGAAAAGCTCTACTAGTTTCGAACCACAGAGGGGTACTACGAGGCTGCGCGACATCGCCGCGACTGCGCACGCATAAAAAACTAGTAGAGCTTTTCTCAGTATATTCACCCGCAATTTTTAGTTAATTTAGTATGTCTCACAATAGTTATTATAAAAAAAGTATTAATAAGTTTACATTCAACACGCTACACTACAATATGATCTAAATTATCCACGCGAGGGAAGCGAGTCTTGTTAACAGCAACAGAATATCGTTAACTAAATGAAAACATTAAATAATTAGTTAAACAAACATTGCAAAAGGAAATGTGCCGGAATTAGCCGCGTGTTGTATTAAACTAAACAAAAATATTGGCGCATGCACTTTTGTTTGTTGGTAATAATTATATACTCACTTGCGTCAGAGGTCCATCCGTTGGCAAAACAAAACATTTCATTACTATAATCATTCGAACAGATCATGTACAATGTACACGAGTATTCGCTGGGTATTTGTCTAACATCTTATATGCAATCTCCTAGATTCCTGCTAGAGATACAAGTCTCATCGGATGCAACTATCAAATACAGGTAACATGAGCCATGTTTTCTTTTATATGGACCGTTAATTACTCGAAAGACCAAATTATAAGACTTGAAGATAATAGGTTAATCATTTATAAGTAAAATCTATTAAGTACCTTGTAGATACGTATAAATAAGATGACTATAATGAAAACATTACAAAAGTAAAGCTATAAATGATTTCAATATCAGAGTCTATGCGGTCTTTATAACGATTTCAACCAACGTCAGACCAGACATTGAAACTTATTACAAACTCTATTAAGACAATGCCAAAAGCAATGCTGCAAAATTGGAAGTTACAATGCCAAGTTCAACCGAAACTATATATTCTAGATATTTCAGTAACCTAAACGCGATTCCCAAGTCGCTTGCTAAGTACCTAAGAAGATTATAGCAATTCCTCCAAAGAGGGTCCCTTTTAGTCAGCAGTGCGATGTCTTCCGCCAATGACAAAGATGATGGAGATAATCAAAGATGGCATTATCTATTCATCATTAGCCTGAATACGTTCACAGCTGATCAAACGCCTCCCCCCTTTATTCTGATGATGGTATATAATTGACTAACTTCTCAAGTGCGTGGGCAGTGGCTGTAGCGTGGGCCGGTCCAGGTCCAGCTCATACAACTCCTTGGCTCCTTTCATTAGCTCAGTGTCCTTCATGGCGAGCTTCGTAAGCGGTTCTGTCACTTCCACCTCCTCTTCCTTCTTTTGAAATAACTCTGAACATGGTCTTAACTTCTTTACGCGCGGTTCAAAGGGACGGTCTTTGAAATCTAGAGTAAAAAATCATTTGTTTGTTAAGTTACAGCAATAGGGTAGATGCCTAATTTTTATTTTAATGTCCGTCTGATAGATTGTTTTAAATCATTAGACACGTATTTTTTATTTTCTTACAGAAACGAATACTTTTGACGATTTATTGATTTGAAAAGTCGCGTGACGTCACTTCTACGTAGAATGACGTATTAGCCCCCACTCCTAAACTTTGAATCGTTTTATCTAAGTATAGTTTTATTATACGACAAAATAAAAAAATACGTGTCTAAAATTTGTTCATTACCTAGCTTACGGACTAATTAGATTTTTAATTTTCATACCCTGTCATCATCCCAATTGGGTCAACAGTAAAATCGGTATAGGTACCTACTTAATAGAACCGCCTTTAGTTTATTTACCCTTTCTGAATATGAACCTGAAATGTTTCGCTTCTGCTTTTCGAAAAGTTTCGCTTTAGTGCCGTTAGCAATCAATTTTGTACCTTGCTTTTTAGTTACATATCAAAATTAGGAAAATATGTTTATGAGCCGTGTTGATACTGTTACCTTCTGACAAGTGTGCACAGTATGAGTTGTAGTAGGTGGACTGTCCTCGGATGCTCTTCATCGTCTCCTTGATGAACGCCTCAATCTCCTCATCCGACCATTCTTTCTGTGACAATCACAAAGAAACTTCGGGTTTAAACGAAAATTGTAGATCCAGTAGTTACGTCATTCCCAGATTTTTTCTTGAAATAGGTACAATTGCTTTTACAAGATAGGTTATTTCAGCAATAGTGTTTAAGGTGAGCTAGCAAAATAAACTTACGTCCTGTGTGCCAACTTTTGGATCCAGCCATTTTCCCTCTAACTTTGCCCACCTGAGCTCTGGACGGCACCTGGGAAATGAAAGACCAGCAAAAATAGGTATTTTAGAAACCAACCATTAAGAAACAGTAGGTAATAAGTACCTAGTTGTTGAAATTTATGACGTGACTAAGTACCTAAACAGGGCATAATAATATACTGAAGGGAAATCTATGGAATCTATAATATCGAATCTTTAACGCGCGTTATTAATGTACCAATTGAAATAAAATTAAGGGTTTTTGAGTATTAAAACTTACATTTTAGTTTTCTTTATCGGATGTTGACGGTACTCGTCGAAATATTCTGTTAGAAACGACATGATTCACTCTTTAATTTCACTTTTATATTGAAATTTTTCGATAAATAAACACAAACTGTTGATATGTATAAAATGACACTGACACTGATTAGCAAATAATATTTATTTTTATTCAAAAAGTTTTTAGAAAAGAGGTTTGATGAAACAGTTTTTATTGTAAAAGTTTTGTCTTTAGATCTCCTGTGTCGTAGGTTTTGTAATCAACTGAACATGAGCTTGTAATTTTTCTTTAGTATAAGTTTCTTTCATAATAAGGTTAGAGTTATTGCGGTTTTGCATGTCGAGCTCGACTTTTTATGGGGTCGCCAACGGTTTGACATTGATTCAGAGAAACTTTTAGTCTGTGTGGCTTTGTGGAACATTAAATAAACATTAAAGTTATTAAAACTTTGGTTCTCATGTGGGAAATAATTTAAAACGGTTTAGCAATGTTTCATGTTGTGGACCCCACGAATAAAGTTTCCATCCATAATAATCGCAACATTTGTAGCTCCGATTCCTATTCAAGCGGTTAGTCACTAATACACTTTTTTTAAGGGGGGAAAATCATCCAATGACTTCTTCTGCGTAGGCGAGGCGGGAGGGAGTGTCAGACTGTTACTGACTAAAAACCACCCCGTTCCTACTCCTACACTTCGAGCCGGAGCCCCGGTAACCCGTTAGGTTCTCCGCGGCTCCGTGTCACTAATATACTAGATACTTACCTACTCTATTTAGTAAGGACGATGATGACTTCTTCATTTGACGATGTATGTACATAACAGGTCTATTTTAGTGCACTAAACATAAACACCGTGGGCAAAGTTATTCCAATTTCTACACAATATCTAATAGTTCCATTCCTATGCAATCTAATCTATCTTCTAAACACAATACTTAGATATGCCAGGTATTCATAAGCATCCTGTGTAGTGACCAATAATGACGTCAATGAATGAATAGAAATTTAATTATAATGCTAGTCAAGTGACGTGTACGGGTACAATGAGCGCATGCCATAAGTGCAGTTAGCAGAGCTCGGTATTTAGCCGTCTAGTCAGCGAGGCGCCGGCGAATAAATCTCAAATACATACCTGAGTTAAAGCGTTGTCAAGGCGGTATTCTGTGAGGATGTGTTGATTCGCTGACTCCGATCCAGCCGACGCATTCCTGCTGAAACATGACTCTCCTATGGGAATCTTTGATTTTTAATCTGGCGTATTAATCGTGTTAGATCGCCTTGGTGATTTTGTCCCATCTATCTTTCTTCAGGTCAAAATTTTCTACAAACGGTCAATCTTTTAACGAGCTAAGCGTCCAAAGAAGGTCCAAACTAAACAAAAAAAAAACAACTCTTGTAAAATCAACCTCAAGTTGACATCCCCTATACTTAGCGACGTTTAGCAATTTTTATGCTTGCGCTCCGTACCGCGGGTGGCGTGACCAGCCGACTTAAATCATGAGATCGCGATATTTTTAGATATACACTTTGTCGTAAAATCGTATCTGCAAGCTGAACAATATTGAAGGTCATCATCGATCAAAATAATGTACGGCTCGTTCGATTTGTTGTTTAAGGGTAACCGCACACTAACGACTGTCTGCTTGAAATGGGATAAATCTCTAGTATCAGGTCGTCAGTAAAATTTTACTCTTAACTGTGTCTCATCAGGGTCCAAGGGTATAGGTATTAGGAATAATTTTATCCACAAAAAACAAGATTACCGTAACGGCGTCTAATCGATAACAATGTTCAACACATGATCCCAGTCGATACCGTCGCTTTTGCGACCATTCGTCGTGATGTGATACGTAACCATTCAGAACATTGCATTTTTATTTTTCAAAAGTATTTATTGGAGCACACTTCAACATTCATAGAAGTCTTCTATTTCCTAAAATATACCTACCATAAACAAAATAGATTTCCCATATTCGATATCGTCGCTAAACGTCTGCCGCGTGTAACCGCCTGAAGGTTAACATGTCGCTTCGAGTGTGAATCCATGTCAGCAGGGAAAGCGACAATTTGCATTGAATTACGACCACTTTATGTAAAGTAAATTACTCTACCTACAGTTTCTAGAACCTTTAACGAATGATTTAAAAAAAATGAATATTGAAGTTTTCGATTTCATTTCAACCAAATTGTGCTTCTTGTGACTTCAGATTCGGTGTTCTAGCAATAAGTCCGTTGTACTTTACATGAGGTGTGCCGCGGGGAGCTATATTGGGTCTTACGCGATCTTTTTCGACAGCAACTACTGCTGTGTACTTTGGAGTTAAACCTATCACCAATCATTCATTATATCGATCATGGGAAGGACTCCAGCAGTGGATGGAACCGGGTGATGATTACGACATAATCAGAGTGCCAACCCGCAATGGCCAAGCGTGGTAATTAAATGCTCAAACCTTCTCCTCTGCAAGGCTTTGCGCAGCAGTAGACACTTATAGGCTGTTGATGTGTTGTGAATCAGAGTACAAGACATGAAAAGAAAGCAAGGAGTATGTGTAAATTAAAATAAATATCATTTATTTATTAATCATAGTTTATTGTAGCTTATCATATGATGACAATAATCTGAGAAATACGTAACATAGCGCAACATGCACCACTTGGAACATATCAACATAAACCTCCCAACACATACACTGCGCACAATATGCTCGAATGATTCTAAAACTCATTTACGTCGATTTGGAATCTTAAACTAAAACCAAGACGATAGAGAAAGGATATTTACGAGTTTATCATTAAAATTTAACTTACTACACAATAAAAGAAACATCCATTTAATGCATACTCTCTTATTCTTTATTTTCTATAAATTTTGATATAAAAGAAGGGCACTCCATAGCGGAAAAACTCCCAGTCATAAAATACTTTATAATCAATCATGGATTGATTTATTTCAAGTCTACAATAAAATGAGAAAGTATTAATGTAAACCGTTTATTGAAATAAACAGAGGTTGCATTGTGACTTAACTAATAAATTGTCTTATATTAACATTTCCACAATAAAGTTAATTGAATGTTGCTACGCGGGACGCTTGCGGCTCTGTCACAGCGAGAGATCACTACTCACTACTACGAACATCAAATTATCCTGAGGTTTACAACATCTATTTCTGAACGGCTAATGTATTCATAATCTTATAACTTGCTAATACAATAATCGTCGTACATGTTTGTTACTCTAAAACACAATAAATATGTGATTGCAACATTGTGCAGTTACTTGTTCTCATTATTTCTATTATATTAATATAATCTGATTAAAATATTTGCACATGTAGTTGTAAGTAGCACAGAGTGGAGACTATAGCTCCGTCAAGTCACAGTGGCACTCATCATGTATTGGATAGTTTCTTGACTATTGTGTGGTGTAGTCAAGTAAAGGAAATTATTTCGGCTAAAGGGAGAGTGGAAGAAGTCATATTGCGCTGAGCACAAGTAAATCAGGATTAGGTGAAGATATGATGAGTATAGTATACAGTCAGTCAGTCTGTGAGTGAGAGAGCTATCCTCGCCCACCCTGTGATGAAACACTTATATATAACACACGCTGTAAGACAACGCATTAAGTCCTACACATCAGTTTCTGGGTACACTACATCACACGATTCTCACTTCTACACCCTCGTACAGTTTATTGTAGACACAGCACACAGAAAGATACAATTGAGAATTCTTTTGATCAATATGAGAGTTCTTTCATAAAATTATAAACATGGATTAGCGGAAGAGATTGGTCATTCGATTTTCTATTCACAAAGCAATTTATTAATAAAAATATTTATTTTGATTGCAACGTTAGAGCCGAGATTATGAGACTAATTAAAATAATAAATAAAGAAAGTGTTTATTTTAAAACATAATGAAGTAAAATATTCAATAACCGTACCCTGTGATTTTCCTCGATTCAAATGCACAAATCACTAATCATCAATACCATCAGGTAAATCAATTCATCTTTTAAAACTGAGTACAGAATACCAATAAAAAATCATTATATTAAATGATTCGACGACCTAAAAATACACAAGTATTTTGAAGCAACTTTTACAGGATACATGACACTAATTTAGGTTATATGCTAACTCACATAACGTTGTGTAAATTATGTCTAGAAAACAGACACAATTTGTTTGTTATCCCATAGCTGGACAAAGGCCCTTCTAGTTCCATTGCTGAGCTAGTCCTAGTGACTATGTCAGCTTTACGTATTCTGCAAAAGTGGCTTGGATCACAAATATTAGAAGAATGGAAGTCATTGATTGCGTGGCGAGGTCGTGGGTAGTGTCGGTGCGTACAGAGTGCAAGGCCCCGGGCCGTCGGGCGATCAGAAGCGCGCGCGGATGTAGACGGCGGCGACGTCGTGGTTGGCGTACCCGAGCCGCTTGGCGTGCTTGAAGATCTCGTTGGTCGTGGCCGTCAGCGGCAGCGACTGCTCCAGCGTGTCGCCCAGCCCCAGCGCCAGCTTCAGGTCCTTCTGCATGTGCATCAGGGGCTGGTGGGTCGAGTACGAGGATTCTATCATCGCTGGAATTGGAAAATGATTTGGTTAGTTTATATTTTTTGTTAATTTATATTACAATAACTTTAGAATACATCTTCCTAAGTCAATTATAATAATATAAAAACACCGACAACCTCAATTTATTATTTTGGAACTAATAAACATTACATTGTACATAGAGCAAGAAGTAAGTAGAATCACATTCTTTTAATTTTATTACCATTCAGAAAAGGCTTTACATAATATTGAATAAAGATAAAACATGGAAAAGGTCAGTGAACAGATTGTTAGCATTTTCCCTGTAAATGTTGAGTAAATAGTGGTAGTTTCCTACCTCGTCCCTTGAGTATGAGGTGTGGCGAGGCGAGCGGCGTGAGTGCGAGTACGTCGAGGAGGTCGGCCTGGTTGAGGCCGGCGCGGTCGGCCAGCGCCAGGCCCTCGGCCAGCGCCGCCAGCGACACGCCGCCCACCACTTGCAGCACGGAGTTCATCTTCGACGCGTTGCCGATATCGCCTGGAAACAAATTAAATGTTAAACTCCACTGTCATATATCATTTGTATTTGCTTAAGAAGTGTTTGTATTGTAGTTTTAATTTGTAATTGAAAAAAATATTTCTTAGTACATTTCATGAAAAGTTCATCACGAGTCGAATCAAAACTCTTCATTGACCAGAGAAGACTAAAACTGTTATTTATAGCTTTCAATATTGCTGTAAAAATGTTAATTATCAATTTAAAAAATTTATATATCTAATAATGATTCTAATGACACTCTGGAATTAATAATGAGAAGATGATAATTATGATATTTCTTATGGAATGACATTTTCCCTTCACCATAGGCCTAAATGATGAATGAATGAAATGTAGTGTAATATGAATTCATGATATAACTTATAACTAAAAACGCTCGGGTAAGACGTTGACAGTTAAAACAATAAAAAAAGAGGACTACTATACATTTCAACGAAAATAATGAAAAAACTAAAAAGAAATCAACGAACCCGCGATGCTCACTATGTGCAAAAAATCAAATAAGTAAAACAAAAAGCATGCTTGCAACTACTTCTATACGATTGCTTTATAAACCTAGACTTGCAAGTGCCTAGAAATTAAGGAACATTGAATTGGTTTCATAGTAATTTATCACACGATTCGGATTTTATTGTATGAATAGTTGTAACTACTGATAAAACTACTGATGATGTAAATTACCGATACTCAAACTGCCACCAAAACCTACTACTTCAAAAAAAAGCACTTCCTCATAAAACCTTCAATCATAAAACCTATAAAAGTTCTAGGTATGGCGGCCGTTAATCTTAATTAAAGTATACGGTGCAAACATAGCGGGCTAGAAAAGAAACATAAATGTCAACGTCCAAGGTTCCTCGCGCCTGCAACCGGAGCAGCTGACTACTACCAAGGTAAAAGGAGTTCTTGCTCATCGCCTTGAAGCACGACTGGCAGTCGTCGAACAGAGACCGGTCGCCCGCTGCTAGGATGATCAGCGTGCCTTCTTCTGCTTGCGTCTTTGAGCCTTGGATCTGGAATAGAAAAGGAAATATTTTGTAATAAAATTTTAACTGACTGCCTTGTTGACAGCGTGGTCACATTTGCGACTGCCCGGGCAAGGGGTCTTGGGTTCGATTCCCAGATCGGGCAAAGTATTACAGAGTTTTTTTAAAAAACATCTCAGTAGTAGCACGGAGTCTGGAATTGTGCCTGGTATATGGCAATAGGCTCACCTCCAAGAAAAGTGGCTGTTGCATTGTACTGTGGCATTAAATGCCGCGATGTGCATTATGCGTACCCCTTCAGGGATAAAAAAGCGTGATATTATGTTTGTTTATTTTAACTTTTGATTCAACCTGATCGAGTAAAATATAACATTTAAGACGTTAGAGAACTTGTATATCGATAGCATAAAATTGAGCATCATTCTTTTCTTACATAGTAATTTGGAATTTATAATTGTATTGCTCGATTTGTGCAATTACAAGCATACGATCAAACTTCTAATAATTTTCCGAGACTTTTTATGCAGACTTAAACTGCTGGACACCATATTAAAAATATTTTTTTACTCTTAAATTCTAAGCAACTTTAAATTAAGTTTTAATGCATTGCATTCTCGTAGCGAACTTGTTACAATTTTAATTAACGTCCATGTGAGCTAGACAGCTAGACGGAATAAAGTGGAGAGGTCATGCGACTGAAAGATTCAATTAAACGTTACAATAAAACCTTTATTACCGCAGTAAAACTTAATGAAACCACATCGAACGAGCTTCGTCTGTCTATACTTAATGTTAAGTGCAATGCGTTGGACGGTTAATTTACCGCATTTTTTATCTTACAAAACACTACGAGAACAATATAAATTGTATTTACTAATACAC